CATTGCAACAGTTGTGGAAGTGATCAGAAGCTTCAAAGCTGCTCATACTACTTCCACATGTTTAAAAAGCATGACTCAAGTAGTTAAAAAAAAAAAAAAATAATAATTTTAGGCCTGAATATTAGTTAAAAACACCAAACAGTATATATTTTCTGAAAGAAGAGACTGGAAAATAAAAGGGTGATAGTTCCAATTTTTTATGTCACATGATGTTAGTGCGATGGCATACAAAGCACATATTTTTAGTAAAAAATACAATAAAGTTAATTTTAGTGCACACAAACACAATATATTACCCAATTTTACACAGCATGTCAAGCCTTAAAATTGTGCATGCCCGTAAAATGTTGACAATCTCCGGTACTCAAAATTTTCCATAGGTACCACTTTAACAGCTCTTACAGGTAATTACTTTAGAGTTAACTGTGAAGAATTGTCCTATAATTGCTGTCACGCCAGTGTGCTCAGTTATATGTAATGTAATACATTTTCAGAAAATTGATATGGAAAGTCATTCATTTGAAAGTCATTTTGTTACACTAGGAACGTGAAATGCAGTGTATATGAAAGTATTATGCTTGAAATAAAAGTTTATTCAATAAATAAAACTTGCTTTTTAAAGCAGTGACAGAGGAAATAACTCCTCACACAGACCAGGCCAAGCACCACCCAACCTGGAAACCAACATCCTGACACCTACTGGGATGTGGGAAGTGCTGAGGTCAGCCTGCCAAGTACAGCAGGGAGTGGATTAGCGGCGGGTATCGGTTGTCGTGTTTTTTTTTTTTTGTTTTGTTTTGTTTTTTTAGATTTGGATAGAGTGGTGAGGGATTGGAACCTTAGCGAGGTTTTTATTGCTGTCTGTGTCACCGTTCTGGAAATTTGTTTTCTCTGATTGTCCTGATTACCCGTGTAGCGGAGTTGGAAGTGATTGTAAATACAACATTTTTAAGTTGCCACTAGAAGAGGAATAGAGGGAAATCTTCCAATGGGGATACTTGTTCCCCTGACAAATGTCATATTGAGAAGATATCCTCTCACTGCTTGTTCAGTCTACAGGGCAGGAAGTGAAAGGAAACCTTTCTGAGGTACAGATGGCAAAAAAATAACCTGACAGCAGTTTTAGCCCTTCCCATACATTTTTATGTAAAATAAAAATGGTAAATATCAAATGTTGCATTAAAATCTTTGCCTAACAAAAAGTATTTTTAAACTTAAAGGATAAGATCACCTTTTGGAGCATGTTGCACGTTACACCCATGTTTAGGGTGTAACATGCTGTAGCACATGTCCTCCTCACTCTCCCTGTGACAGCCAGCAGGGGATCCTCTCTCCACAACTGCTGCCACATTCTGAAAACAAGTGCTGCTGTTTGTGCCTCTATGCGCACAGCCGAGTCATTCATTCATAGGAATCTGTGAATGAGAGAACTACAAGTCCCATCTGCCCATGGCAGACGGCTTGAAGTTCTCAATGAACGGCGAGAGCAGTGATGAGTGCCCTTGTAGTTCATTCACGAGCCCTGCAGCTTTCGAACTGGCAGCCAATACAGAGGTATGGGCTGAAAGCTATAGAGCTTGTTCGCAAGAGTTTGACATTGCACCCATGATCCACTTATCATGGGTACAGTGCTTTGCATGCTGCTGTGTGGGGAAAAAAAAAAATAAATGCACATTTTTTTTTCCCCAAAAGATAAACTTAGCCTTCATTATAAAAATGCTCAGTAACACTATACATTCACTTTAACAATGGCTCTTCTTTTGCAGACCATGCCCCTGCTCCAAGAAATACAACAAATCAGGTAAATTTATTTTGGCAAACTAAATGTACTATTTTCTTGGTCTTATGTTTGTAGAGTCTGATGTTACTGTTTATCTGTTTGAGTATCTGGTGGTGACTGTAAACTAGGCTGGGGGGGTGTTTACTGTACCATGGTTTGTTCTGGTTTTTTAAATACCTTAGCTATTACTGTCAGCAGGTGTGTAATAATAGCTACAGTAGGCCAATAAGGGGGCCTAGAATCAGAGGGACAAAAATAGCCTGACTGCACGGTGGTTCATGACGGTTTCAATAGAATTTGGCAAATACATAAAATACATAATTCATAAAGTTTAGGAACTTCTATAAAGCTAATAACAATATGCATATTATTCCATAAATGAGGAAGCTGCGCTAGTTTTCTTTATTTTTCAGGCTTTTTTTATTTTTGCTCCCCTGATGATCTTGCCAGTAACTCACTTCCTCTCTTAGGGTGACAACTCACTGTATCTATGGAAAATCGGCATTTCCACATTTGGACTGGAATACAAAATGCCTCTACCTCTCTTCATAACCTAGAGGCGGAGGGGTTCTGTAGTCCTCAGACATAGCTGGGAGCAATGTAACATATAGGAAAGTAGGAGACAGCACAGCAAGGTATCCCTTGACAAGATTCCTGGCAAGGTCAACGGGTATTTCTCGCACTTAACAAACTGTACAAATTGTACCAAATAAGCAAAGTTGATCCTAAGAATTTACATATTTAAATAGTAAAGAGGTGCCCCTTAATGATTTTAGCTATGGGGACCCCATTCCCCTATAGTTCGACCTTGGCTCTGAGACATGAGTGAAAACATTATACCTTGTGATTCTCTTGCAGAGTAAAAACATCTTTGCAGCTCTGGGTGATAATGACAGCGAGGAGGATGAAGATGAGGAGGAAGAACAGACGTCTAAAAAAGATAAAGGCAAAAAAGTGAAGGTGATGTACACAGGGTGCTGCCGTCATAGTTGTTCTTTATCCTGGCATGAATACATAAAGATAAATGTTGCAGCAACAACACTGTAAACCACTCCAAATCTATTATTTTCAATGATCTGCAAGTAGTTTCAGATTTTGCTTTTTTTTTTTTTAATTCTTTATTTAATTCTGGAATTCGGCAAAGCATTACAAAACAGCCAGCACATATTACATTACCAGGTAACATTGTCCCGAGAGGGAACCAGTCAGTAAAGGAAAAAATATACGTAAGGTACAGCCAACATAACAGGACATATATGTATACAGGAACATAATACAAAAAGAAAAACAATGTCTGTCTCAGTAAATGCAATAGGCGGTATGACAAAAAAAATGTCGAATACACCATGTTTTGTCTTTCAAGAGACATCAATACACTTGCAGTAGTAGATAGAACACAGATGTAGTGAGCAGAGATGCAAACCTGGGACAGGATTAAGTAAGTAGGGGCTGAGGAAACTTAAAAAGGGGTGGGGGGGGGGGGGTGCACAAGGGATGGAGAGAGAGGAAGGGGAAAGGAAGGACAGGGAAAGGTCTGGGAGAAAAAGGGGGGTGACAGGGTATAGTAACTGTCTTCCTCTCGGATGGTTCCAACCACGTCCAGGACCATCCAAGTCCAGGACCCCGATTACCTGGTGTACTATAGAATAGGAGAGCAAATTAAGACTTGGAGGCAAGGGAAGTCTGGTCCCTGTAAAAGAAATAGGAGGTCAAACTCTTCTAATATTTTCCCCACTGTTCCTTCACGATCATGGTCCATTCTTTCCATTTCCTGGATTTTAACAAAAAAACTCTCGCTCACTGTCAGGGCTCCGGGTATGACCAGAGGTGTGTGGACTGACACGGAAACGCAGGCTTCAGGTATAGTGTAAACAAGACAATTTATTGAAGACTAAACAACACAAATGCAGTGCAAGGTAAACATAACACCATGCAAACAACCCACACCAACAGATAACTATATATAACAATCAAACGTAGTCGGGCAGGCTGGGTCAGTAGCAAACAGGCAAACGGGGTACCAGGAGCGAGTGGAAGAGTGGTCAGGAATAGCCGAGGTCAGGGCAGGCGGAGTTCATTCAGAGTCAGGATCAAAGCAGAGTCAGGATCAGGCAGGAAGCAGACAGGATGCAGATACCAGGGCTCATGGGAAACATACACCAAGGCACTGACTGCAGGTCTGGCCATTCCTTAAATACACCTCCTGCAATCAGCCTCAGGTGATGGCTGACTGCAGGAGTGAGCTTCTGGTTGCTCAGAGCACCCGTTGGCCAGCCCTGGTACTGCAGCCCACACGGCAGATGAGTCCCACCACTAATGGTGAGTCCATTCCTGACAGTACCCCCCCTCAAAGAGCGGCCTCAGGACGCTCCAAACAGTCCTTAGTGGGCAAAATGTTCCACCGCCCGGGTCAGGTAACTGGCTGGATATCCTACTGCCGGAGTCAACCGGCTACCTGGGTTTCCTGTTGGTAGACTTCTCCTTGTGTAGGAGAACACAGGAAGGCAGGTTACTAGACACAGGATCTCCTGGAGCAGGCTGGGAATCAGTTGTTGGCCAGTTTAGCTGGACATCAGGAGTTGGCACATCAGGCTGGGCAGCGGACAGAGGCACATCAGGCTGGGCAGCGGACAGAGGCACATCAGGCTGGGCAGCGGACAGAGGCACATCAGGCTGGGCAGCGGACAGAGGCACATCAGGCTGGGCAGCGGACAGAGGCACATCAGGCTGGGCAGCGGACAGAGGCACATCAGGCTGGGCAGCGGACAGAGGCACATCAGGCTGGGCAGCAGGCACCGGGCCATCTAGCAGAACAGCGGGCACCGAGTCACCTGGCACGACAGCAGGCATAGAATCACCGGGCATCGAGTCATCTGGCACGACAGCGGGCACCGAGTCACCAAGCTCGACAGCGGGCCCCAAGTCACCAAGCTCGACAGCGGGCCCCAAGTCACCAAGCTCGATAGCGGGCACCGAGTCATCTGGCACGACAGCGGGCACCGAGCCATTTAGCAGAACCGCGGGCACCGGGTCACCAAGCTCGACAGCGGGCACCGAGTCATCTGGCAGGACAGCGGGAACCAAGTCATCTGGCAGGACAATGGGCACCGAGTCATCTGGCAGGACAGCGGGCACCGAGTCACCAAGCTTGACAGCGGGCACTGAGTCATCTGGTAGAACAGCGGGCACCGAGTCACCAAGCTCGACAGCGGGCACAGTCATCTGGCGCGACAGCGGGCACCGAGTCATCTGGTAGAACAGCGGGCACCAGGCCGGACCACGGGCACCGAGGCGCCAGGCCGGATCGGGTCATCAGGCTGGATCGCGAACACCGGGTCATCAGGCTGGATCGGGCCATCAGGGTGGGTAGCGGGCACCAGGTCATCAAGCTGGATCGGGTCATCAGGCTGGATCGGGTCATCAGGCTGGATCGGGTCATCAGGCTGGATCGGGTCATCAGGCTGGATCGGGTCATCAGGCTGGATCGGGTCATCAGGCTGGATCGGGTCATCATCAGGCTGGATCGGATCATCAGGCTGGATCGGGTCATCCGGCTGGATCACGAACACCGGGTCATCAAGCTGGACCGGGTCATCCGGCTGGATCACGAACACCGGGTCATCCGGCTGGATCGGGTCATCCGGCTGGATCGGGTCATCCGGCTGGATCGGGTCATCCGGCTGGATCGGTCATCCGGCTGGATCGGGGGTCATCCGGCTGGATCGGGCCATCAGGCGGAGCAGCAGGCACCGGGCCATCAGGCGGAGCAGCAGGCACCGGGCCATCTAGCAGAAGAGCGGGCACCGAGTCACCTGGCAAGACAGCGGGCACCGAGTCACCTGGCACGACAGCGGGCACCGAGTCATCTGGTACGACAGCAGGCACCGAGTCATCTGGCAAGTCAGCGGGCAACGAGCCATCTAGCAGAACCGCGGGCACCGGGTCACCAAGCTCGACAGCGGGCACCGTGTCACCTGTCAGGACAGCGGGCACCGAGTCACCAGGCTCGACAGCAGGCGGCAAGTCATCGGGGCACGATAGCGGGCACCGAGTCACCTCGTGCGACAGCAGGCACCGAGTCACCAAGCTCAACAGCGGGCACCGAGTCATCTGGCAGATCAGCGGGCACCGAGCCATCTAGCAGAACCGCGGGCTCTGGGTCACCAAGCTCGACAGCGGCACTGAGTCATCTGGCAGGACAGCGGGCACCGAGTCATCTGGTACGACAGGCACCGAGTCATCTGGCAAGTCAGCGGGCACCGGGTCACCAAGCTCGACAGCGGGCACCGAGTCATCTGGCAGGACAGCGGAGCACCGAGTCACCAAGCTCGACAGCGGGCACCGAGTCACCTGGCAAGTCAGCGGGCACTGAGTCATCTGGCAAGTCAGCGGGCACCGAGCCATCTAGCAAGTCAGCGGGCACCGGGTCACCAAGCTCGACAGCGGGCACCGCGTCATCTGGCAGGACAGCGGGCACCGCGTCATCTGGCAGGACAGCGGGCACCGAGTCACCTGACACAACAGCAGGCTGGATCGGGCAGGCTGGATCAGCCAAGCTTGACAGCGGGCACTGAGTCATCTGGTAGAACAGCGGACACCGAGTCATCTGGAAGGCAGGTTACTAGACACAGGATCTCCCGGAGCAGGCTGGGAATCAGTTGTTGGCCAGTTTAGCTGGACATCAGGAGTTGGCAGTGCACCGAGTCATCTGGCAGGACAGCGGGCACCAAGTCACCAAGCTTGACAGCGGGCACTGAGTCATCTGGTAGAACAGCGGGCACCGAGTCACCAAGCTCGACAGCGGGCACAGTCATCTGGCGCTACAGCGGGCACCGAGTCATCTGGTAGAACAGCGGGCACCAGGCCGGACCACGGGCACCGAGGCGCCAGGCCGGATCGGGTCATCAGGGTGGATCACGAACACCGGGTCATCAGGCTGGATCGGACCATCAGGGTGGGTAGCGGGCACCAGGTCATCAAGCTCGACAGCGGGCACCGAGTCATCTGGCAGGACAGCGGGAACCAAGTCATCTGGCAGGACAACGGGCACCGAGTCATCTGGCAGGACAGCGGGCACCAAGTCGCCAAGCTTGACAGCGGGCACTGAGTCATCTGGTAGAACAGCGGGCACCGAGTCACCAAGCTCGACAGCGGGCACAGTCATCTGGCGCGACAGCCGGCACCGAGTCATCTGGTAGAACAGCGGGCACCAGGCCGGACCACGGGCACCGAGGCGCCAGGCCGGATCGGGTCATCAGGCTGGATCACGAACACCGGGTCATCAGGCTGGATCGGACCATCAGGGTGGGTAGCGGGCACCAGGTCATCAAGCTGGGTAGGATCGTCAGGCTGGGTAGGATCATCAGGCTGGATCGGGTCATCAGGCTGGATCACGAACACCGGGTCATCAGGCTGGATCGGGCCATCAGGCTGGGCAGCGGGCACCAGGTCATCAGGCGGAGCAGCAGGCACCGGGCCATCTAGCAGAAGAGCGGCCACCGAGTCATCTGGCACGACAGCAGGCACCAAGTCACCTGGTACGACAGCAGGTCTTACCACCGAGCGGGCACCGAGTCACGAGTGACGGGCACCGAGTGACGAGTGGGCACCGAGTCACCAAGCTCGACAGCGGGCGCCGAGTCACCAAGCTCGACAGCGGGCGCCGAGTCACCAAGCTCGACAGCGGGCGCCAAGTCACCAAGCTCGACAGCGGGCACCGAGTCATCTGGCAAGTCAGCGGGCACCGAGCCATCTAGCAAGTCAGCGGGCACGGGTCACCAAGCTCGACAGCGGGCACCGAGTCACCTGGCAAGACAGCGGGCACCGAGTCACCTGACACAACAGCAGGCACCGAGTCATCTGGCACGACAGCAGGCACCAAGTCACCTGGTACGACAGCAGGTCGTACCACCGAGCGGGCACCGAGTCACGAGTGACGGGCACCGAGTGACGAGTGGGCACCGAGTCACCAAGCTCGTCAGCGGGCACCGAGTCATCTGGCAAGTCAGCGGGCAACGAGCCATCTAGCAGAACCGCGGACACCGGGTCACCAAGCTCGACAGCGGGCACCAAGTCATCTGGCACGACAGCGGGCGCCGAGTCACCAAGCTCGACAGCGGGCGCCGAGTCATCTGGCAGGAGAGCGGGCGCCGAGTCATCTGGCAGGAGCGGGCGCCGAGTCATCTGGCTGGCGGGTGGAGTCATCTGGCAGGAGAGCGGGCGCCGAGTCATCTGGCAGGACAGCGGGCACCGAGTCACCAAGCTCGACATTGGGCACCGAGTCATCTGGCAAGTCAGCGGGCACCGAGTCATCTGGCAAGTCAGCGGGCACGGGTCACCAAGCTCGACAGCGGGCACCAAGTCATCTGGCAGGACAGCGGGCACCGAGTCACCAAGCTCGACAGCGGGCACCGAGCCATCTGGCAAGTCAGCGGGCACCGAGTTATCTAGCAAGTCAGCGGGCACCGAGTTATCTAGCAAGTCAGCGGGCACTGGGTCACCAAGCTCGACAGCGGGCGGCGGCTGGCAGGAGCGGGCGTCATCTGGCAGGACAGCGGGGGGCGAGTCATCTGGCAGGACAGCGGGCGGCGAGTCATCTGGCAGGACAGCGGGCACGAGTCATCTGGTACGACAGGCACCGAGTCACCAAGCTCGACAGCGGGCGCCGAGTCACCTGGCAAGTCAGCGGGCACCGAGTCATCTGGCAAGTCAGCGGGCAACGAGCCATCTAGCAGAACTGCGGGCTCCGGGTCACCAAGCTCGACAGCGGGCACCGAGTCATCTGGCAGGACAGCGGGCACCGAGTCACCAAGCGCGACAGCGGGCACAGAGTCATCTGGCAAGTCAGCGGGCACCGAGCCATCTAGCAGAACCGAGGGCACCGGGTCACCAAGCTCGTCAGCGGGCACCGAGTCATCTGGCAAGTCAGCGGGCACCGAGTCATCTGGCAAGTCAGCGGGCACCGAGCCATCTAGCAGAACCGAGGGCACCGGGTCACCAAGCTCGACAGCGGGCACCGAGTCATCTGGCAGGACAGCGGGCACCGAGTCATCTGGCAGGACAGCGGGCACCGAGTCATCTGGCAGGACAGCGGGCACCGAGTCATCTGGCAGGACAGCGGGCACCGAGTCATCTGGCAGGACAGCGGGCACCGAGTCATCTGGCACGACAGCGGGCACCGAGTCATCTGGCACGACAGCGGGCACCGAGTCATCTGGCAGGACAGCGGGCACCGAGTTATCTGGCAGGACAGCGGGCAGAGCGTCATCTGGTAGAATAGCGGGCACCGCGTCACCAAGCTCGACAGCGGGCACCGAGTCATCTGGTACGACAGCGGGCACCAGGCCGGACGACACGGGCACCGAGGCACCAGGCCGGACCGGGTCATCAGGCTGGATCGGGCCATCAGGGTGGGTAGCGGGCACCAGGTCATCAGGCTGGGTAGGATCATCAGGCTGGGTAGGATCATCAGGCTGGATCGGGTCATCAGGCTGAATCGGGTCATCAGGCTGGATCCCGAACACCGGGTCATCAGGCTGGATCGGGTCATCAGGCTGGGTAGCGGGCACCAGGTCATCAAGCTGGATAGGATCATCAGGCTGGGTAGGGCCATCAGGCCGGATCAGGCCGGACCGGGCCATCAGGCTGGGTAGCGTACACTGGGTCATCAGGCTGAACAACGGAAGGCGGGTTCTCAGACAGCAGGCTGACCGGTTTGGATACTGGTAGGATGGTACTGGTTGGAAAGAATTTTCGCTTCTTCTTGGCTTTAGTTACTGGGGCACTGCAAGTAAATGCAGTTCTGTAAATGGATGGAGTAGCTGGGGACAGAGAAGAGCTGGAGGGTGGAACAGAGGAGGGAATAGTTGTTACAGCAGCCTTTTTTACAGGGTTAAAGGCAGGATAGGTGCAGCGAGTGGGAGCAGGGGACTGACGTGGTAGATAGCAGGGTATATTGGGCTGTAACTGGGGGTGCTGTCGGGAATGCAGGAATAGAGCTTTGAGCAGAGGAATGATTAGAAGCAAGATGGGTTTGTTGCAAGCTGCCTGAGGCTAGGTGTAACAAGTCTGACCAGGACTGTAGTATTGGTTGAACAAAACTCAGCTTACACATAGCCTGTCTGACCAAAGACTGCACTGTGTTTATACAGTCCACTAGCACACATGGTGAACATGCTGAATAATGTTCCCAGAAGCAATCCGGATCATCCTCCAACAACCATACCAGTGATTCTATTTGATCCACACTGGTGGAAGAAAGTCATCCCTGCTTTCAGGGGTACTAGATGAAGCCAACTTAACACAAGCCTGAATCAATGGTTGCACCTCAGAGAACTCTGTGCCCTGATCTACTAGAGAATGAGTGACCCGTATGCATTCTAGCAGCTGATCCCTGGTATACTCCTGCAGAGTCTGATAGCCATATTCTCTGTCATCTAAGACTAGCAGACACAAGTATATAACCTCCTCAGGATGCATCCTCCCAACAACAAGCCAAGATGGCTTCCCTGTGCAGCCACTTCTGGTCAGGAATGGCCTTGGTGTAATGTCAGGGCTCCGGGTATGACCAGAGGTGTGTGGACTGACACAAGGAAACGCAGACTTCAGGTATAGTGTAAACAAGACAATTTATTGAAGACTAAACAACACAAACGCAGTGCAAGGTAAACATAACACCGCGCAAACAACCCACACCCAACAGATAACTATATATACAATCAAACGTAGTCGGGCAGGCCGGGTCGGTAGCAAACGGGCAAACGGTACCAGGAGCGAGCGAGCGGAAGAGTGGTCAGGAATAGCCGAGGTCAGGACAGGTGGAGTTAGTTAAGAGTTAGGATCAGGCAGGAAGCAGACAGGATGTAGGTACAGGGCTCATGGGAAACATACACCAAGGCACTGACTGCAGGTCTGGCCATTCCTTAAATACACCTCCTGCAATCAGCCTCAGGTGATGGCTGACTGCAGGAGTGAGCTTCTGGCTGCTGAGAGCACCCGCTGGCCAGCCCTGGTACTGCAGCCCACACGACAGATGAGTCCCACCACTAATAATGAGTCCATTCCTGACACTCACCTTTGGGCTATTATAGGGGGGCTAGTACTTTTCCACTATGCCGGTATACAGGCCCTGGCTGCCATGAGCAAGTGTTGAAGTAGAGAATTTTTTAATTTCATGTTGAATAATGGGGTGTCATTCAAGAGGTATGCAGCCGGGTTTTAGTGAAAGGAGACTCCTGTCATGGTCTGAATTGTTTTCTCTACTTCATCCAAGAAACCCGCTAGTTTTGGATACTCTCAAAAGATGTATATGAGAGTCCCTTCAGATTCCCAACAGTGCTAACATGGAAACATTCGGTGTAGTTTAGCTGAGTCTTGTACCACCATATGAGAAGTAGATTTGTAGATGGCTGCAAAATTTCTGTATTGCTTCAAATTGCTGGTTTGCCCTGGTCAAAAATGGCTGCAGAAGCTAGCACCAAAGTCTGCAAAAAGTTATTTGCTTAAAGCTAACTTTAAGGCAGAACGCAGAATACACACGTTGGCCGTACGTTGTACAATTTTCCTTTAGATTTACTAAAACCATATAATATGAGGTCAAACCTAAACACTTTCAATGTGTTTGCAATCAGACAAGCCCTTGCACTATGTAGTTAAAGGTAACTAAAGGAAATTGAACAAGAAAAATGTAAAATGTATGGCCAGCTTAAGAGCTGTTCACCTTCCAAAGCAGTTGTGTTTCTGTTTATCTGGTCCTGAGATTTACACAGCCACACAGCACAACAATGTGGATGGCAACAATTACAGGTGAGGGGAGAAGGTGTTGTCCCTCCCCCCCCCCCCCCCCCATCCTGCTGACTAGACATGAAAAGAGTGGCAGCAAATCAATTAGGTCAGCTTTCTGCCCACTCTACTCTCTCTGCCTATCAGCAGGTTCCTTTTCAGCAAACTGGCATGCCTCAAACCTGATTCGCTTTCAGTCCTGCCCCTCCCTCTCCCAGTCTGAGTACTGTTGTATAGAGGGAATGGTAAGCGTTTCATACTAAGTCAGATTCAGGCACTTACACTGGCTGCATTTAAGAAAAAAGTAAATAAAGCCGAATTCCAGGAAAAAAAACTATTTGTTTTGTTTTCTTCCACTTTAGATTGGTTTAGCTTAGTTATATCTACATATACTACATTCAGAGGGCTGCTGGGAATGCTGAAAGTTTTAGCTGTCTTCATTACAGATTTACTGCTGGCTTTAATCTTCTGGGCTCTGCTGATGTGACTTGCGATCTTGTGCAGTGCAATAGCATGCTCTCCCCTTTTCTCCCAGCCACCCACTGATAAAACATATTGGACTTTATTCACACAATAAATTATCAATGAATTATGTTATGATTTGGTTTCCAATAGTTAAAATGTTGCATTATGCAAGGCAATGCAATGGGTTCATTGTGTTCTCTTACCCCCCCACCAGTTCATTGCATCCCTGGTGTTTCATTTAGCCAGTTGCTGTGAAGAAAGTTGGCTCCAGGAAGGAGAGAGAGTCGCATGCTCTCCCACATTGGGTATTTGTTTTGTCCTGGAGACTGAATGGAGGGACCGGGAGCAAAGGGTGGTGTGAGAATTGGTTGCGCAGCCATTTAAAAGTGTATCTATAGCCAAAACATTGTTTTGTTTGTTTTTTTTGGTAGACCTTGTATGTTTTTTATTGATATGTGTGTCCCCACGTTGGAACAATGTGCTCTTTATTTGTCTATTGTCTTGGTGACCACCATCACTTTGATTTAAAGTCTGGGGAAAAAAAACAAAAAATGGGAGTTGTCAAAAGAAGTTGAATAGAGCAGGAAATCTTGCAATAGACTCATCTCTTCCAGTGGCAATTGTCTAAGTAGGCATTTTCCTCACTTTTGAGAGATTTCCTCTCACTTTCACTCACTGTACAGAACAGGAACTACTAAACAATCTCCCCCATGGGGCATATATGACATAAGAAACTTTGAAGGAATTTAGAAATGTAAACATTTCCTAATCTAGTTAAAAATGAAAAAAATAAAAACTTTTTTGCTTTTGGTATACCTGTAAATGAAGCTGTTGCTTTGCTCCCCATGGGCAATCACTCCTCACCTGAATTTTAAATTGTCCTGGCAACATAACCACTAAGAAGATCAATTCTGTGGCTACTACAACTCAGCATGGGTCACCCGACATAGTTTATACTCATCGCTGCTCCCCTTTGTTTCTCAGGAAGAAGAGGAGAAAAAAACAGAAGATAGGAAAGAAAAATGAAAAACCCAAACCGGTATGTTTTTATTTTATTTGCATTATAATTTTAATGATTTAAAATGATTGTAAAGCTTTCATATTGTATTAAAATATTTCAAATGTTATGCATACCTGCTCTGTACAATGGTATTGCATAGAGTGGCCACCAACCTTCTCTTCTCGGGTCCCGCTGACACTCTGGGCTTCTCTTTTTCTCGGCACCTCTCCCATAGGAAGCCGTTTCCTATGGGTGCACACCTGCGGACCCTCTCCCAAGCCTGGCTATTTGCATCTATTGATACAAACAGCGTGGCTCAGCTCTGCTCAGCCCTGCCCCCCAGTGTCTGCTAGCAGGATTTGATTGACAGCAACAGGAGCCAATGCTGCTGCTGCCTCTGTGAGCAGAGAGAAAAGAGAGAACTGCTGCAGACAGGCACAGCAATGGATCAAGATCAAGCTCAGGTACATATCCAGGGGAATGAGGGGGCAATATGAATAAAAGGACATTTTTTTTTATCTTAATGCATATCTTAATTTAGAACAACTTTAATTTCCTTTTACCTTTTCTCACTGTTGTGTGTTAGCCCCCAAGTGAAGATAAAGAAGAAAGTGAAGAGGAGGTGCCAAAAGAAAAAGCAAAAAGCAAAGTGAGTGGCTCTTTTCCAGCAGAATAATTCCATTGTTGACAGAGAGCATAATAAACTAAGAACTATTCTTAAAACTAAAGTAGTGGTGTATATTTTCTCTCCATTAAAATATAATGAAGGGAGCTATGAATCTGTCCCTCCTCCTGTATAGGTAACAGTTCATATTCCCATCACACATGCCTGACAGAGGGGTCGTGCGCGTTTCCAAAATGTCGCACTAATCTGTTTGTGATGTGATCTTTCTTCGATAAAAAAAAAAAGTTTGGACTTAATTAAAGATCCACGGTGTGCTGGCGACTATTTAAATTGTGTCCCCCTGTTTAGTGACACAGAAGGGAGCTATGAATCTGTCCCTTTTTCCTGTAGGGTGACTCGGAAAGATAAGAGCTATGAGTTTCTTTCTCCTCCTTCACGGGTGATGCAGACAGATGGGAGCTGTGATTCTGTCCCTCCTCTTGCAGGGTAACACAGAAGTTACAAGTCTGTCCTTCCTTCTGCATGATGGGAGCTGAGAGTCTGTCCCTCCTCCTGCAGGGTGACACAGACAGAAGGGAGCTTTTAGTCTGGCTTGCCTCCTGCAGGGTGAATTAGACAGGAATAGATCTATAAGCCTGTCCCTCTTTTTGCAGGATGGCACAGAGAAGGTAGATTTGAGTCTCTGTCCTCTTGCAGGGTGATGTAGACAGAAATAAGCGAGGAGTTTGTCCCTCCTCCTGCAGGGTTCCACAGGCAAAAAAAGGAGATATGTGTTTGTCCTCGTTCCCAGAGAGTAGCATAGACAGAGAAAAGCTGTGAGTCTGTCTTTGCTCTTGTTTTCTGTCCTTCCTTAGTGTCCAAAAGATGACTTCTTTCATTTACAGAAACCGCCTCCTAAGGCTCCTGAAAAGGTTCCTCCTAAGGCTCCTGAAAAGGTTCCTCCTAAGGCTCCTGAAAAGGTTCCTCCTAAGGCTCCTGAAAAGGTTCCTCCTAAGGCTCCTGAAAAGGTTCCTCCTGCTCCTGAAAAGGTTGAAGAGGAAGAAAAGAAGACTAAAAAGAACAACAAAAAGCCAAAACCAACACAGGTAATTAATTTCTCCCATGGTGCAGAGATCTCTAAACAGAGACCTCTATATATTAAGTCAAATGTAATGTTACTTTCTAGAGCACGCTATGACTGGATAATGGGCTGAAAATGTTCAGCCTGGCTGACTGCGTCCTTTCCCATCAATACGTTAATGAAGTTGCTTTTTACATTTTATCGTTCTGTTTGGGCAGTTCTGTTCTGCCCAAACAAAATGATAAAATGAGACTGGATGGCAAAACAAGTATCAATGGGGATCTAATATCTCCAAGTGATGCATAGAATTGTCCACCACTTATAGGTTCCTCTACCTTTTTTTTATCTACACAGAATCAGAATCGGTTTGGTGCTCTGGATGATGATGATGACGACGATGCAGACAGTTTTGGCTCACTGCAAGGGGTGAGTCTTGATGCATAAGAATATTATTATTATTATACAGTATTTATATAGTGCTAAAAAGTTTGCTCAGCGCTGTACAGAGTAGTGGGGGACAGTACATGAGACAATACAGTAACAAAACAATATACGAGGGGTTCGAGGGCCCTGCTTTTTCGAGCTTACAATCTAGGAGGGTTAGAATGCATTAATGTGTGAGTGAGTTGTCTTGTTGAGGTTGGGCCAGTGGATGTAAGAGAGGTAAAAAGACACCATCCTGACTGTTTGTGGCAGCGTATGTCATTAAAGAGACAGCGATTCCAAGGTGGAAGTCACAGTAACTGAACTTTTTAATATGAACATCTGAGAACTGAAGTTTTGGGCACTGCCACTGCTGATCTGTTTATCGATTTGGGTCCCGAGACTTTCACCCTTGTTTCTGTTTCATTGCCTTGAAACAAGTACACTCACTAACCACTTTATTAGGTACACATTGCTAGCTCCAAGAAAATATCCCCCACACCATCACACTACCACCACCAGCCTGAACCATTGATACAAGGTAGGATGGATCCATGCTGTCATGTTGTTTACGCCAAATTCTGACCCTAGAATCTGAATGTCTCAGCAACCAGTCTGTCCATTCTCCTCTGACACCAACAAGTCATTTTCATCCACACAACTGCTGCTCTCTGGATATTTTCTCTTTTTCGGACCATTTTTTGTAAACCCTAGAGGTGGTTGTGCATGTAAATCCCAGTACGCCAGCAGTTTAACTACTCAGATTAGCTTGTCTGATGCCAACAACCTTGCCACTTCAAAGTCACTTAAATCCCCTTTCTTCCCCATTCTGATGCTTGGTTTAGTAGCTTTTGGAGCATTCAGAGTTCTTTTTTTCTGCCAGGAAAACACTCTCAAAAACTCTACAAAAACATTTTTGTTTTCTGCTCCTAAATGCTAAAGTATGAAAAATGCTTCTAGCAAAAAATCGTGTACATGGACACATAGGATAACATTATTAGCTTCTAGGAGCAGAAAAAAATGCTCATATTAGCTTCTAGGAGCTTGAAAAACCACTAGTGTGCATGGAGCCTAAACCTCTACTGAGACAGCTACTGAGGCTACAGTTGCTGACCTCCTAGACTAGAAGCTAGAAATGTCTGGCTGCTTCTGGATTTTACTTTCTGAATCACTTATCTTGAGCTTGAAGCAGACCAGGAAGAGCAGCTGAACTCCAGACAAGTGCTAAATACACAGAGGAAATCCATATAGGGGAGTCGTGTTACCTGCCAAACATTTTTTTTAATTTTTTTTTTTTTTTTTTTTTTTTTAACAAACATGTCTATACTTACCTGCCACCTGCAGTGGTTTTGCATAGAGCAGCCCCGATCCTTTTTTCGGGTCCACACTGGCGCTTCTCACTCCTCCCCCTTGAGCAGTGCCCCCAGGGAAAGCCACTCGTCTTGAGGGCACTGCTGTGTGCTTGCCCCCGAGCTGCTGCTCTAAGTGTCCATAAGACACATAGAGCCCGCGGCTCAGTCCTGCCCCACCCCTCCCCTGCTCTCTCTCCCCATTGGCTCACTGGCTGTGATTAACAGCAGCGGGAGCCAATGGGCTCCCGCTGCTGTCTCAGCCAGTGAGGAGAAAGAGAGTCCCCAGACAGCAGAGGCTCTCTGAAACGTCGCTGGATCAGAGGAGGCTTAGGCAAGGATTGGGGGGCGGGCCGCGGGGTTGCTGCAGGACGTCATATGACGTCCTGCCGGATCGCGCCTTGTGCATACCCACAGGGTCGGGCTGTGGCAAGATCTGTTCCTCAAACACAACCGATGATAAATCTGTGTACTGGCCTGCTGCCAGTACCATCTGAATGCTGTGACCAAGCACAGCATGTCACTTGACAATTGTAAACAATGGATGGCTTCCTTTCATGCCATCAATTGTATATAATTGTGTCACTAGCTGTAATTGTTCATAGTAATCACATGGTACAGACTGGGCCAATCACAGCCCATCTGTATCATGTGATTAGCTGTGGTCAATCACAGCTAATCTCAACAAAAAAAACCTGAATGAATCAATTTCATTAAGTTAAATGATTGCTTATAGGAATGAATTTCTTTGCTATAAGCAAACATAGTGTGTGTAAAAAAAAAAAAAAAAATACTGATCACTTCCCCAGAGTAGTACAATGTTACTATGGTAGCATTATACTACTCTGGTCACAGTGTGTTATCGTAAAAAAAAACTGAATACTGTCATCAGTTAGTGTCCTTGATCACAGCCACACCAGTTATATGATACGGTACTGCACTGGTGACAGTATGTGTAAAAAAAATTCACTTTTTTTTTTTTTAATTTAATTTTTTAAAAAATATTAAGACAATCGCCATGCCTCTTACTAAATACTTTGGACTGTTTTACTTTGTAAAAAGGGGTCATTTGGGGCATATCTGTACTGTTCTGCCATTTTTGGGCCTCACGAAACTAGATTGGATGTCAGTACTTCAGGATTGATTGATTTTCAGATATATCCCATAGTTTGTGAACTCTATAACTTCCCTACAGACTAAATAATAAATACTGACGTGGGTTATTTTCCCCAAAGAAACGTAGCAGAATTCATCTTGGCCTAAAGTTATGAAGAGCAAAATATTTATTTAATTTTATAACAAACTAAGAAAAACTGTTTTGTTTTGTTTTTCCCCCCCAAAGCTTTCAGTCTTTTTTTGTTAATTTAGCAAGAAAAAAAAATACCCAGTGGTGGTTAAATACCACCAAAACAAAGCCCTACTGTAGTTGTGTGAACAAAGTGATAAAAATATAGTTCGGGTACAGCGTTGCATGACCGCGCAATTGTCATTCAAAATGTGAGAGCGCGCTGAAAGATGAAAATTGGCCTGGGCAGGAAGGGGGTGAAAGTGCCCGGTATTGAAGTGGTTAAGCAACACTGTCAGATTTGCCCCCATCCCCCCTCTGCTGCCTGTGAAAGAAAGAAAGAAGAAGCAGTAGACTGTTGAACTCCTCTCTCTGCAATTCTGCTCCTTCCACCTATCCGCATATTGCTTGTTGGCACATGAGCACTGCAGCACAACTGATTTGTCTATTTGTGCTGCTTTCCTATCTTTAGAACTTGGTTCAGCTGTACAGGATTTGCATACATTTACTGTTGTGTTATTGAAGACAGTTGCAATAAGTTTTGTAGTTTAGATGTAAGGATGTTTTTTCAAACTCTGTATCTCCATCAGTCTGGCGATGAGGAAGGTGAAGAAAAAACACCAGCTGAGGATCCATTTGCCAATCTAAGCAAGAAAGAGAAAAAGAAGATGAAGAAGCAGGTGAGTGAGATGTGATTTCATTCTGTGATGTCACACTTTTTTTAATTTAACAAGCCACTGTTAAAGTGAACCTTCACATAAAAATAACTTTCATCGTTGACTTTTTATTTCTCCTTAGTTTTTTAATTCACTTTTTTTCCATTTGACCCACACCCACCTTGATTCTCACCTAAGCGAGAATGGCGTTTCAGCCGCCTCTTGCATCCTTTTGGGATACTGACGTCACACATACTTTCCTCCATTCATAAAATCTATTGCAAAATGTAATCTGACATGGTGTAGGATCTTTGCCTATGCATATGCGAGATCAGGCAACATGTCATTGGGAGGTCACCTGCCAGAGCCAGGAAGAGACAGCCAGCTCTCAAAGGGAAAGATGGTGGCTTGGGACAGGACCCTGTAGTAAGAGAATAGTGGGTGAAAAGAGGACAGTGCTGGATCCACTGTGCTTGTAAGTATAATAATGCAGCATGGCACCAAAGGAAAATGTGGAAAAAGACTATCATTTTCATTGGGACTTAGAAATGAAGGTATGGATTGACATGAGCGTCGTATGTCAAAAGCGTCACCAGATTTTTTCTTTCTAAAGGATCGCATTTAATAGATTTGCACATCTGGTGCTTTAGTTAATCTTGATTATAAACACTAGATTAGCAACTGATTAGTTATGGGAAGTTTTGTTACATTCTTTTTCTACTGGATTTTTTTTTTTGTTTTTTTAATTTAGTTTTTTATATTACATAAAGGACTGTCTATTTGAAAAAGGAGAGATAGCGTAAGGTGGGGGTTGGCAACCTTTGATCGCGAACTACCCGTTGACTGCAGCCAGGTGTAAGAAAGATTTTGATTCCCTGCAGACTTGCAAGTGCAAATTGATTGGCAGGGAAAGGATAAGCTCAGGCGTCTTGCCGTGTGAGCTTTCAAGCTGGGAAGCATTCAAAGCCAGTTCTAGGCACAGTCATTCCCTGCCCTGCAGCACTCCCCTTTCATGTGTGGCTGCAGGGCAGAGAATGCCTCTGCCATCTAAGGTTTGCTGTTGGCTAGTTTGGGCTCTTGTCCCCGAGTGCAGGGCGCTGATCCCAGCCTGCCCTTTTCGTTCTTGAGTTTCTAACATGCAGAATAGTCACATACTGGTATAAGTCACCTTTTAAAATAACTATTTAAAACAGGCATATTGGAGCTGCCTTTGTCATGTGGTGCTAGCTCTTGTCCATCATTCCTGCCTAATGAGTCACTTACCTGCATCAAAATGATAACATAAGTCACAGAATAACATAGAGGTAGGCTTGCATGAAAATAAAACCTTGTGACACAAACCATATACCCTGTGTGATGGGCTGTTCAGTGTTTTCTCCAAGCATCCTGTAATGAACAGGGCTGCCCCCCATTCCTATGTCCGTGATCTGATGATCCTGGAAAACACTTGCTGGTAATGCTGGAACACCTTCCTTGCTGCCTTTCATACATCGGCTTATGTAAAAAACTATGCCAGTAATAAGTTCCACCAATCTGATACATACCTGACTTGGAAGTATGAATAATGATGCAGGAAACACAGAAAACATTGTAAAATGTAACTTTTTGATCCTGTGTGCTTTATGCTTTAATTTTTTTTTTTTGCCTGGAATTACCCTTTAATAAAACTTTTACCATTCTCTGATTCCCTGTTTCTCACTGATATTAACAGCTGAATGTCTTGTGTGTCATAGATGGATTATGAGAAACAGGTGGCAACAATGAAAAAGGCAACTGCAGCAGAGAACGACTTCTCCGTTTCACAGGCAGAATTGTCATCCCGCCAAGCCATGCTGGAGAATGCCTCCGACATCAAGGTAACTGAAAGTTCTGGCTGGCACAGGATATGCAGCTCCTTTGTGTTGAAGGGGGTCGCAGGATGTCCATGACTGTTAATCAAAGCCCTGTGTTTGTGTTTTCACATGCTTAGTTATGATTTTTAATGTCATTAGAATTCATATAAGTTGTGCCTTAGCTCATTTTAATGAAAAACTTCAAGCAAATGTATAAGATTCCCAGATATTCTATTCATTGATTTCTTCAAGCCAACTACCAGTTGAAGGCAAAAACATTTTTATCAGGGATGTGATTTTAGGGCTCGTTCACACTTGACTGTTTTACCAACTCTTGCCAAACACCCCTATAGCGTTTGGCAAGCGTTGGTCCGACGTTTGCGGAGCGTTCTTTAACACTCGGCAAATGCTCCGCAAGCGTTAAAAACACCCCACAAACGCCTATAATGAAGTTTAAATGGTGTTACCACTCCGCAACCGCACCGCAAACGCCGGCCGGGCGGAGCGGCACCATAGACTAGAATAGGAGGCTTCAACGCCTCCTGACTCGACCAGAGGCGTCCGTTTTGACGCGACGCTAACGCTTCCGTTAGAACAGCATTATGTGCTGCAATGTGCAGAATTGTCCGAGACGTTTGGGAAGCGGTAAAACGCTTCCCAAACGCCTTTCTGCCGCCTGCACACAACACTAGTGTGAACGTAGCCTAAGGAAATCGAGATGCATTGAAAGACTTCAGAAGTGTGGGATAAGGACCAACTTGTCCAAGTACAAGATTTACAATTTTTTTTAGATATTAATTGGAGTTGACCTTTAAAGAGGACATTGCACTAATAAAAGCAAGGTTTGTTTGTTTGAGAACCCCTTGCCCACTTCGTTTGCTAAAACACTGCAGCAAATAAAAAATAAAACAAAAATACAAAAAGTGTGATGAAAAATTAGTAAATATACTTTTCTCACCTGAGGTGCCTATGTGAGGGTGATGTAACCATCCTTCGGTGACATCTTGGGGAATGCTGTGTACCCCAAATATATGCACTGTGAACAAGACTTGGGATATTTAGCATTCCTAAGGATCTCACCAGAAGGATGGTGACAGTAAGGTAGGTATAAGTACTAACTTTTTCCCCCCACAGCCATTGGTTTAAAGTTTAATACACTAAGGGGCAGGTGACAAGCATTTCAGAGCAGAGGGCAAGAAAATGGCAGCTTCTGTTTCCCTATTGACAAGTTAGGTTAGTTTGGAAGGGCTTCTTGGCTTAACCATCATTCCCTCCTTGTACATACCTCCAGAATGGCAGCACCCTACCATTTTGTTTACATCTGTCCGGTAAAAATCTATTGCTGGTTTGCCTGTGCACTAACGTTCCATAACTTCGAATGGGATATACTTGTACTGTAGGAGAAATGTCACATCTAAGTGATAGTGTGCGAGGGAAGCCAGGCACTAGATTTTAACCACATGGGATGTAAACCACATGGGATTAGGCTTCTCTCGTGGGAGGGAGGTCAGTACCTAGGGTGAGGGTGGTTCAGCTTAGGATAGTTTAGATGGCTTGGAAGGGTTTTATATAATTTATGCCTTTATTTCAGCCAACCAACACAGTGAGATTTTACATTTTTTACTCCGTTTCAGAATGCTGGACATGTTATTGTTATACCCTGAGTCTAAAATTCTTGTTTCCCCTTCTCTAGTTGGAGAAGTTCAGTATCTCTGCCCATGGCAAGGAGCTGTTTGTGAATGCTGACTTGTTTGTAGTTGCTGGTCGGCGCTACGGTTTGGTGGGACCTAATGGGTGCGTAATCTGTGAACATCATTGAATTTTTTTATGATTTACTGGGGTACAGAGCAAGGTTTGAGGAGTATATATTCACTGTGTATAAGGTGCTCTTTTGTGTAATTTTTTTAAATTCATTTTAATGTTTTTCATTTCTAATTTTATTGTTCTGTTATATAGAGGTTGTTTATTAAAATTTGTTCCTCTTAGTATTTTTTTTTTTTTCTCCTTTTTAAGCAAAGGAAAAACAACTCTGCTAAAGCACATTGCCAACCGTGCCCTAAACATTCCTCCCAACATTGATGTTCTTCTCTGTGAGCAAGGTATGTCACCTTCCACCATATTGCACATAACTTATAAGTCATTTGTCCCAGACTAAAACTTGTCTCCTCTTCTCTGCTGCAGAGGTTGTTGCTGATGAAACGCCAGCTGTTCAAGCTGTCCTGAAGGCTGACACAAAGCGCCTGAAGTTGTTGGAGCAGGAAAAGAAGCTGCAAGCTCGCCTTGAGAAGGGAGATGACAGTGCAGCAGAAAGGCTGGAGAAGGTGATAACTGATAATTGGACAAGGGTACCTGTTATTAAAAGTCTGTAAGATGACGTCTGACTGTTTTGTCTTGTTGCAGGTCTACGAGGAATTACGAGCCACGGGAGCCGCCTCAGCAGAAGCCAAAGCCCGCAGGATCTTGGCCGGTCTGGGATTTACTCCAGAGATGCAGGATCGAGAGACGCGGAGGTTCAGTGGAGGCTGGAGAATGAGAGTGTCACTGGCCAGGTATCTGCAGATATCTTGTTAAAACATACTTTGCATTTTATGAGCTGATGCACTTGTTGTGTTGTTTGGCCTTGCTTATAAATCTATCTGGGATTATAACAGCAAAAGCCCAGTTTAGATGTTTTTCTTTACACTTTGTGGCGACCTTTGACTATTATTGTGAGATACCAAGTCATTTAACTCTACTGACATAATATTTTGAAGTTGTGGGGAATAATGTATGTTTTGTATTCCCTGCCATCCTACTCTTTATGCTGCACAGTATGTTCTATACTCCACACAAGCATACACTGAATGCTGTGCTGTACAGCCTTTATACCACCAAATACTGTGCTGTACAGTGAATGTAAAATGTACAGACTGGGGCAGCAATCTAGAATTAAACACTGCACTACTCTGTACTCATTGCTGTAATGTCTGTGACAAATGACAGATTACCCCACTTGGTATGTTGTCCTGAACGGACTGTATTCCATACTTCTTTCCTATACCGAATGCTGCTTCGCTGTGTACTGTACATTAATTGATCCATAGCACTCCACTCTGTATTTGATTTATTGTACTGGATAATGGCACACACTGCACACTTCCAAATCTCCACCTCTTTACACTGTGTTGTACATTTTTTACTCCACGCTATACATTCTATAGTACAAAACACACAACGGCCACTTTATTAGGTACACATTGCTAGTTCTAAGAAAATATCCCCCACCATTACACCACCAGCCTGAACCATTGATACAAAGCAGGATGGATCCATGTATTTTGTTTACGCCAAATTTTGACCATACAATCTGAATGTCGTAGCAACCAGTTTGCTCATTCTCCTCTGCCCTCTGACATCAACAAGGCATTTTCATCCACACAACTGCCGCTCATTGGATATTTTATCTTTTTTGGACCATTCTCTGTCAACCCTGGAGATGATTGTGCTTGAAAATCCCAGTAGATCAGCAGTTTTTGAAATACTCAGACCAGCCTGTCTGGCACCAACAACCATGCCACGTTCAAAGTCTCTTAAATTCCCTTTCTTCCCCATTCTGATACTCGGTTTTAACTTCAACAAATCGTCTTCACCACTTCTAGATGCCTAAATGCATTGACTTGCTGCCATGTGATCGGCTGATTAGTAATTTGTGTTAGCAAGCATTTGAACAGGTGTACCTAATAATAAAGTGACCGGTGAGTGTGTGTACTGTCAGTGGTAATTGGTAACCATTCTGTATAGAAGACAACTAATGGAAAAAAAATCCAGTTCTTATAAGAGGCTTATTGAAGGTGGTCAGTTTATTGTAAATAATTTGATCATTAATGGTTCTTGCAAAAATAAATGCTTCTCTGTATACAGTAGTTTATCTGCTTCCTTGTTCTGACTTTGTGACTTAAAAGTATTAAGGCAAAGGCAGCCGGGTAGCTAGCGTTTTTAGAAGGTGATCTGGAATGGAAGCCATGTTTTTCTTTTCATGACAAGGGTTTCCTAACAAAGAAAACCACTATAGGGAGCACTTACAAATTTGGGTTTGCCACACAGACATCTGGTTAAAATCTAGTGCCTGGCTTCCCTCGCACAATATCACTTAGACGTGACATTTCTCCTACAGTACAAGTATATCCCATTCAAGGTTATGGAACGTTAGTGCACAGACAACCCAGCAATATATTTGTGGCAAGTGTGTAACAGCAAGCAAGGAAAAATATATGTGATCATCACCTTGAAACCCACTTTTGCAAATGTTAGAGTAATAACTCAAAATGTGTACCGATTTGAAATGATGCTATAGAACTCCTTTGCAGTGTTTAGCCCTGTTCATTTCTCTTGCTTCACTTTTCTGTATATTCCATGTTTCAGGGCTCTCTTCATGGAACCAACACTCCTTATGTTGGATGAACCAACCAATCACTTGGATCTCAACGCTGTCATCTGGCTTAACAAGTATGTGTTTACATCTGAGCAGTCACTGTATGCGGATAAGAGACTGTAGTTTTCTTACTGCTTTCCACACAGAAATAGGTCCTGAATGCTGCTGTGTGACTTATATCTCACTTATCCCTCCAGTTACCTGCAGGGCTGGAAGAAAACACTCCTCATTGTCTCCCACGACCAGGGCTTCCTGGATGACGTGTGTACGGACATAATGCACCTTGATCAGCAGAAACTGTATTATTACCGGGGAAACTACAGTGAGTATTTTCCATCAACTTTGCAATCTAAATATGCTAAAGGTGAACTATACACAAACATTACAAAAATCACAAATGAATGCACCTTGGCATTCATTAATTATTAAAGCAGACATTTACCCAAAAAGGTGCATTCTGCTTGTTTGCATCTCCCCTCCTCCACTTTTTGAGAGGGAGGGGGGATAGGGTACCTGGTTTTGACAGGTACCCACTGTCACGATCGCGGCGTCAGACCCCAGACCTTCTCACCAAACTCGTGACCGAAGGACTGGCCGATCCAAACCGCGATGTGACGTGCGTAACAATGCCACGCCCAGCAGCTGCACCCTGCACAATGATTTTCCAGCTAATTGGACACACAATCTATGTACCGGCAGCCTGGGAGCGATTGTTACTGGGTCAGGTTAATTACGCAATTAACCCCTTCACACTGCCACCACCTCCTTTTGGTTCAGAGAAAGAGGATACTCGCAATATTGCTATAACACTATAATAATTGAAATAATCGTCCGCATAACCCGGTCATTGACACATGCCGGTTATGCAGAGAGTTAAACCAACAGAAGCGTCTCTTTAAAGGCAGGGATTCGTAAATTGCAATTAAGAGTTGTAGAAACAATTCAACACTTTTAGAAGAAAGATTTATTACTAAAAGGGTCAAACAGGTGCAGTAAAATATTTACAGAGAAGATGTAACTAAGATAGATAGATATATATATATATATATATATATATATATATATATATATACATACACACAGAGCAATACAGCACAGCAACACAGCACAGCAACAGATAACAGAAGGAAGTTTAGGTAAGTACTTGCCAAATAAATGCCTGGAGTTAAGCAGTTTCAATTCTGATGAGCTCAAAAGGATTTCTGGTCTTGCACTCAGTTGCGATGGTACAACAAGACTCTCGGTCAGCTCGATGGTACAGAGCCAATGTCCTCACTTTTCTAACTGCTCACACAAGAACTAACCTTTCTTTTTTACCCAAAAATCAATTGGTATCTTCTTTACAACAGCAGCTTATTGCCTTATTTGGGAAAAGGATGCCATAGACAGTCACTTTGCAAGATACACTGAACGCATTCCTGAGGGGGGGGGAAATCGGAGGAGAGAAACTGATTTGGGAGTTTAAGAGAACTACCAAAATGTAGTTGTTTGGAGCAGAATGGATGACCTGCTCCTCTCCCTGTGTACATGATTGTGACACCTCCCCCCTCAGTGGTTGCGTGGGAGGGGACTACAGGTTCCCTCCCGACGCAGCCGACCTCTGCCCAGAGGTTCACCTTGGGTTGACAGGGTGCCATTGCACTGCAGGAGAACCAGGTTCCTTCCGTTGTGCCGACCAAGTGAGTGGTCACAGGGGAGCCCCAGTCGGCTGTGATTATCCGGACATCGTGGCGACTGCCGGGGTGCCCACCTATTCACCAAGCACTTCGGCTCAGGGGTGTCGTCTGCTAACATATTGAGATGAAGCTTTTTTTTTGTTGAGGTAGAGAATGAGCTTTCCCTCTCCCATCTCCTTCCTCTGAACCAGGACTACATCTGACCCGAAGGTAGTGACGCCTGTGTGAACCGGACAGGCGAATTCTGGAAATCGCTGCCCGGATGGGTCCACAGGTACCTTCGTCCAAGATGACCATTCCTCTTTACCTGCTAACATCCAGGACACCAGTTCCGTCAGTTTCCTGTCTGCTAGGTCAGTCACAGGTCCAGCTGAGTCATGGTAGTTGCACCCCGGCGTCTTACCATAGCCAGCTGCATCCAAGACTGACGAAACCTGTTTCTTGACCTGGGGAGTCCGCCAGGCCATAACTGCCTCAGTCTCCCCATTCCCAGACCTCTGGGGGTCTCTTCCCCAAAGCTGAACCACTGACATGCCCCTCTGACAGTTACCATTCTCAACTGTCAGACTAGGCAGGGGCAGTTCGCTCCTGACTAGTGACGGGCCCAAGTTGCTCTTCCCAGACAGGGCCGAACACCACAAGGCCCCTAAAGTGGGCAACTTCACCCAGTTCCATTCCACATTGTAGGCCATTCCTGACCCCTGGGAAGGTGGTTGGTGTGTTCTCAACCTCAGGTAGCTTTCCCAAATATTCAGGCAAGCCACATGGATTGGTGAAGGCTGACTCGTCCTGAGCCTCCTGGGTTAGAAATGGTGACCCAGACCCTCTGCTCAGGTCCATGATGGTTAGACAGCGGACCCCTTCCGGATGCTTCATTACCTCATGGCTCCTGGGCATGGGGCCACAACCACAGGGCTGGCGCTCAGTTTCTGTCAAGGTCCTACCTTTCCTCAGGGCTAGTGCTGCTCCATGTGCTGGCATCCATCTTAGGTGTCTGCAAAGCATTGTGGGATCCTTTATGCTTTCAGCCCTCTGCGGCTCCCCCCCCAGGAGGTGGCGGCTTATCACATATAAGTCTGCTGTTTTGTAGCTGTCCATTGCATTCGTGTGCTGTCTCTTGCACAGCAGCAAGCTCCTGTTTAGCTACTCATTGCTTTCCTGGATACCGACTCGGCTTTGGCTAAGACTCCTCCTGGCTTCTGACCCCGGCTCTGGCGACCATTCTTCCTGGCTCCTGATCCCAGCTCTGGTGACGATTTCCGCTGTTGGACTTGCATAGACTCTTGTCTTATTTTTATATTAATAAACCTACCTTTAATTGCACCTCCTTGTGTGTCTGTCTCCTCGCTCCCTGACACTACACGAATGCCATGAATCCTGACGGTACAGGTACGCCCTCGCTCCCTATGTTGGTTGCCAGACTTGACCAGCAGGATCTCTTGTTGGTTCAGTTTGCGCAGGCGTTGCAGACGCTGCTTGCACGCACAGCGCACCTTACTCCTGGTGCTATTGGGCCGGTTGTCACTCCTGTTGTCGCTCCCTCTGTTGCTCCGGTTGTTGCGCCTACCTCCGCATCTGCTGCCGCACCTGCGGTGCCCAGAGGTATGACTGGTTCAGCCCCCCTTCCACAGCGCTTTGGGGGTGAGCCGAGTCAGTGTCGGGTTTCCTTAACCAAGTGGGCATATATTTTGAATTGATACCCCACGTTTTTCCTACGGAGAGGTCAAAGGTGGGCTTCCTAACTCTGCAGGCTCGAGTTACTCCATTGGTCCTCGAGGCGATAGATGGCAGGCCCCTGCAACCGCTGCAGGTTACCCACGAGACCCTGCCGGTTGAAGTAGCTATTCGGGCTGTTCACAGGGAGTTGGCCTGTTTCCAGGTAATTTCTTCCCCGCACTACTCCGTGGTTTTGGGATATCCCTGGCTTCAGAAGCACAATCCGACCTTTGATTGGCGGTCGGCCGAGATTCTCTCATGGTCTCCACAGTGTGGGGCCGGTTGCATCCGTGGACCTGTTAAGGTGTTGTGTGCCTCCTCGGACTCTGTGTTGCCTACTGACTACGGGGAGTACCTGGACGTGTTTGACAAGGTGCGCGCCGGTGCTCTGCCTCCTCATCGTCCATACGATTGTGCCATAACCTTACAACCCGGTGCCACTCCTCCGTGTGGCAGGGTGTATCCTCTTTCGGTTGCGGAGAATCAGGCCATGGAGGAGTACGTTGTGGATGCGCTTTCCCGGGGCCACATTCGCAAGTCTACTTCTCCAGCAGGAGCTGGCTTTTTTTTTTGTGTGAATAGAGGCCTTGCATTGATTTTAAGGGTCTCAATCGAATCACGATTAAGAATGCTTACCCAATTCCGTTGATTACTGAGTTGTTCGACCGCCTCAAGGGAGCAACGGTCTTTACTAAACTCGACCTTAGGGCTGCGTACTATCTTGTACGGATCAAGAAGGGCGACAAGTGGAAGACAGCGTTCAACACCAGAACCGGCCACTATGAATCCCTGGTTATGCCCTTCGGGTTGTGTAACGCGCCCGCGGTCTTTCAGGAGTTCATTTATGATGTCTTTCGTGACTTGTTGCAGCAGTGCGTGGTGGTTTACTTGGACAACATCCTGGTTTACTCTGTGTCTATGAAGTCTCATATCCAGAATGTTAAGCGGGTGCAGCAACGGTTACGTGAAAACAAGCTTTTCTGTAAGCTCGAGAAGTGTGAATTTCACTGATCCCAGGTTGCCTTTTTGGGCTACATCATTTCTGCTGTGGGATTTTCCATGGACCCTCAGAAGGTTTCGGCGGTTCTGCAGTGGCCTCGTCCCAGTGGTCTTCGGTCCATTCAGCGCTTTTTGGGATTCGCCAACTATTATCGGAAGTTTATCAGGAACTTCTCCACGCTGGCCAAGCCTCTCTCAGATCTGACCAAGAAGGGCAGTAATCCCTACGAGTGGTCATCCGAGGCCATCTTCGCTTTCGAAGCTCTGAAATCCGCCTACGCTTCGGCACCGATACTTTCTCATCCCAATCTTGGGTTGCCTTTTTGTCCTCGAGGTTGATGCATCTGAGACGGGAGTAGGCTCCCTCCTGTCTCAGCGTCGGTCGCCCGATGGACCCCTACTTCCCTGTGGGTTCTACTCCAGGAAGCTTTCCTCCGCAGAATGCAGCTACCAGATTGGAGACAGGGAGTTGTTGGCCATTATTCAGGCTCTCAAGGAATGGAGGCACCTGCTCGAGGGTTCTGCGGTTCCGGTTCTCATTCTCACTGACCACAAGAACCTGACGTATCTCTCGGAAGCTAAGAGGTTGACGCCCCGTCAGGCCAGATGGGCTCTGTTCTTGTTGTGTTTTAAGTATGTGGTCTCCTATTTGCCTGGCTCCAAGAATGTCAGGGCTGATGCCTTGTCGTGGCAATACTCTGAGCTGTCCAGGGAGGAGTCTGTGCCGACCTCGGTCATACCTCAGGATCAGATCCCGGCTGCCATTCGTACCAGCCTGACTTCTCCCCTTGGGGGACAGATTTTGGCGGCTCAAATTGATGCTCCCTCTGAGAGACCAGCTGGTAGATGTTTCGTACCTGAGGGATTGCGCACCCGCTTGCTGCGTACCTACCATAATTCCAAGACTGCCGGTCATCCATGGAGGAACCAG